TAAGATTTTTTTGATTTATAAAAATTTTTTTTTTTTTTTTTTTTTTTTTTTACTTGTTAATTAAGAAGATTTATAATGGATTTTAATGACAATTAAAATGTGTTTTTCGTGATTGTTATTAAAAGCTATATTTTTTTATTATTATTATTTTGCTATTATTTAGCTTTTGTATATACCAATATATACATATAGGTAGAATGCATTTTAAACATGATTTACAGGTTCAAAGGCTTCGAGTAAGCTGTGCTCATACAGTTTGTTCATGCTGAATCATAAAACCACATCCAGATTCACATCATCTTGAATACTGTATCAATAGGCAGATGAGATGAATATGGTTGATTTTGCATCTGGATTTCCCTTCATCTGGTTTCCCGTCTCCTGATGCTGCAGGGCAGATATAATGAGCAGTGTGCAATGCACCTTTCAACAACGTGTTATAAAGAGCAGCGCGTTACATAACACTGTGTTCTGCCTGAGAGAGAAGGAGAGGAGCGAGAGCTCAAGGGCACTGCAGTGTGTTCAGATTCACCCTGATAAAAAAGGAGGGAGGAAAAAAAGAGAGTTATTCATAGAGATTGAGGAAAGAGGGGGAGGGACGGAAAGGAGGAGGAAAGACGCTGGAATGGAGGAGGTATTGATTTGCTTAGAGGGAGGACAGGAGAGATGGTGAAAGGCAGTCGAATGGAGAAAGCAAGTGAGAGACGACAGTCAGAAGGATTCAGATTTAGAACACAACGATCCCACTTTCTTAAAGGAACAGTTCATGCTAAATTAATATATTTATTTATTATTTTAATGTATGTATATATATATATATATATATATATATATATATATATATATATATATATATATATATATACATTTAAATATATACATATATGTTTGTGTATTTGTACATAATAAATATACACAGTACACACGCATATATTATATAAACAAAAACTTTTATTTTGGATGTGATTAATCGCGATTAATCGTTTGAGAGCACTAATTATACTAATAATAATAACTGGAACTACTTCATAGCTATGTTTGAAGAACAATTAACCAATAATAATAATAATTAATAAGTAGTAGTACTATTATTATTATTAATGGTTTATTTATTGATCTTTGAACATATAGCTATGAGGTATTTCAGAGCTGACCACATATTTATTATAGAATTTAGAGTAGGATTTTGAACCAATGAGATTTCACTTTGGATGGACAGGCCAGGGCTACAAAATAGAAACCAAGCAACAATTGTCGTTTTCGCTCATAGCTTGTGATTCTTGTGGCAAGTGAGGCGAAACACTCTACCTCTGTTGGAATTACTGTAATTCTCTAACTCTGTCATTTTGAGGGTGAAATTGTCTTTCTTCTGATGTTCAGGGCATCTCCATGACCCATAGGATCAGCCCATGCTCTAGCTTAGCTAGCAGCACAGCGTCGCCCCCTCCTGGCAGCCCCTGCTCTACGTTGCCCGCTGGAGCTCCGGGTAACATGGGCACCAGAGACTGTGCTTACGGATCCATCACGAGTCCCACCTCCACCCTGGAGAGCCGAGACAGCGGTATTATAGGTGAGAGACATTCTGTAGCTTGTTTTAGGAACAGAAATGAATGCTAATCATTGATGTACAAATACAAAAATGACCGTTCAAAAAATCCGTTTCCGTTTTAAATCTCTCGTTGCTTTCTTGCAGCAACGCTCACAAGTTACTCAGAGAATGCCGAGCATGGAGGTAAACACAGCGAGGGCTCTCGGGGCAGCCTGAAACTCTGGCAGGCACAGAAGTCAATGGGTGCAGACTCTTTTCTTTATCGGGTGGATGAAAACATGGCCGCCTCCACATACAGCCTCAACAAAATCCCAGAGAGGAGTCTGGAACATTCTGTCTCTCACTCCGCCCACTCCATCCCCCTCTACCTCATGCCCCGCCCCAACTCTGTGGCTGGTAAGTTTCAGTTTTTCATGTATGGCTAGAATACTGTATGAATATGTCAGAATACTACATGTCTATAAGTATTATGTGAAATATAAGTGTGCAGTATGCATACTGTATAATTATTTACCATTTTTATTCAACTTTTGGCAGTCAAGTCAAACAGTGAGTCAAGAAAGACGCTGAAATTGCACTTGAAAATGTTTCCAGTCTCATTGTAAACTGTGAGCACTGTGTGCTCTCAAATTTTGGCAGTTATAGTTGAAAATGTGCATATTGCGTACAGTATACATACTGCCAAAATAGTACTAGGAGTATTAGTAGTTTGCCAGTCCGAACATACCCTTCAGCTGCGCATCACAAGAATAAGTTACATTTTAGAATATATTCACATAGGAAACACTTATTTTAAATTATAATAATATTTCACATTATTACTGTTTTTACTGTATTTTTGATCAAATAAATGCAACCTTATTTCTAAAACATGTCAAATCCTAAACTTTTTGGTAGTGTATCTGAATTAAAACATTTATGAACAAAATATGTGGATATGTTTGGAAAATAAAAACTTTGGATTTTGAAAATAAGACTGAAGACTGTACAACCTATTGAATGGACAAATGAAAAATGGCATGTACTCGGACTGAGGATCTCTGAATGAATGAAAGTCATGACTAAGCAGCAGAAGACTGCTTTCATCAACAAAATCTTTGCTTCTTTGTTGTTGCAGTCGTACCGTTCAGTACAAGGCATTTCAGTCTGGATTGTGACTGAAGCAGCGTTACTGAGACACAGTCGCAGGAAAACACGTCCTGTGCTGCAGGAAGCTGATGTGTGCAGTCCGTGTGCTGCAATGTCACTATGACATCATCATCATCACAGGGTCACCGCGGGGTCAGAGAGCTGAGTGTGTGTCCTTAGATTTACCCAAAAAGGAGGGAGGAAAAAAAGAGTTATTCATAGAGATTGAGGAAAGAGGGGGAGGGACGGAAAGGAGGAGGAAAGACGCTGGAATGGAGGAGGTATTGATTTGCTTAGAGGGAGGACAGGAGAGATGGTGAAAGGCAGTCGAATGGAGAAAGCAAGTGAGAGACGACAGTCAGAAGGATTCAGATTTAGAACACAACGATCCCACTTTCTTAAAGGAACAGTTCATGCTAAATTAATATATTTATTTATTATTTTAATGTATGTATATATATATATATATATATATATATATATATATATATATATATATATATATATATATACATTTAAATATATACATATATGTTTGTGTATTTGTACATAATAAATATACACAGTACACACGCATATATTATATAAACAAAAACTTTTATTTTGGATGTGATTAATCGCGATTAATCGTTTGAGAGCACTAATTATACTAATAATAATAACTGGAACTACTTCATAGCTATGTTTGAAGAACAATTAACCAATAATAATAATAATTAATAAGTAGTAGTACTATTATTATTATTAATGGTTTATTTATTGATCTTTGAACATATATATATATATATATATATATACACTTTAATATATATATGGGTCAAAGACCAAAAAAGGTTTAAGCATAAAAACAATAAGTGTTATACTGCTTTAAATAGTTTTTCCCCCAAAAAAGAAAAAAAAATTCTGTTTAATTTAATTGCAATTTTGTTTTTGTTTTTCAGAGCAAAAAATAAATATCATACATTTTTCCCTGATTTACATTATAGACCCACTAAAATGTCATTCAGTGTAACAATCTTGTCGGGCATATTTACAACAAAAATCAATTTATGACATATTAAAAGACTAATTACTTTCACCCCCAAATACTAATTAGTTGTAATTTTACATTTTTTAAATTTGCCACTATCCTAGGTTTTGCACATTGGTCAGTAAGAATTGTTTTACTCATTTAAAACACAATAAAATGTAATATGCTCCCTTATTCTTTTATATATTTTAATATGTACACGTCAGAATAAGCATGCTGTTTGAATTTTTACATAAATATTGTGTTACACTGAATGACAATGTAACATTATTTCAACCAAATCTTAACATTTTATTCTCCAAAAACTTATTTGAAACCTTAAAAGTAGACACTTTACTTACATTTAATGTGCTTTCTATGGACATAAAATCACTTTTGTACATTTCTTTTGATGCGGACATCTTAATGTCTTTGACCTATATACGTGTGTGTGTGTGTGTGTGTGTATATATTACAAATTAATTTAGAATGTAAAAAATTATAATGTATACAATCCTGCATGTTTGTTTCTATATGACAGGTCTAGCCCATATCTGTTAAGATCTTAACAAGAAAGCACAATTGTGTATCATTTATATATATATTATTACATTGTTTTCAGAAATGTGTTTGTGAATGCATATTTTATGAAAAATGGAAGCAGATATTCCAGAACAGTAAACGTAATAACCACACATAATAAATAAATAATTCCGGTATTTTTTTTTTTTTATATTCATAACCATTTATCAATTCCCAACCCTAGAAGTGAGGAAAGGAAAGGAACCCCTTAATGAGGACAAGGAGGAAATCTTGAGCACCTGTGTGTCTGCGATATTCTCTCTCTCTCTCTCTCTCTCATCTGCATACATTAATATCAGTTAATGCTGTGTTTTTATTGCCAACTCTGAGCTCTGCTATGCATTAAACCAGCCGTGTATTAGCACTCAGCCATTTTCCTGCACATCTCTTCTCCCATGAACGACTCTACGGGGACGAAGGAAGGGCAGACTGGCTCTTGATGCTGGTTAGTTACCCGAGTGTGCTCTCACAACCCCATTCTCCACCCTTCATCAGCCGCGGTGCGCGTTTGGCTTGTAGAAGAGCACATAAAGCAGTGAATAATACCTGCTCGTGATAATGAGTGCACTTCAGTCTGTTCTGTCTCTCCGATTTTGTGTTGCATTTTGCTCATTGAGCCATAAGAAACTTCTTGTCTGTGTGTGTGTTCCAGGTAATTCTTCCAAATACCATTGCTGCTGTTGAGGATTGTGTTTTCTGTACATGTGGTGTATGAAGATGATATTTTGTTCCTGATGAAACGGGAAAAATTTTCATATTTAAAAACGGAAAAACAAACAACCACGAAGATCGATATAATAATTTTATTTGAATAAATGCATATCTATTTTTAGCATTACCGTAATCATTAAAAACCTGGAAATATCAGGTCATCTGAAACACTTGTAGTATTTATTAATAATTTGAATTAGTGTTTATTTTTAGATTTTCCATTTAGTTTCCAGTTTAAATTTTTATATTTGTTTTTGTTCTTGATTTTTTTTCTTCTCAGTTTTGTTAATTTTATCTCAGTGAAGTACTCAATTGTAGTACTTCAACTTAAATTAAACAAGATTAAAAACAATTTATAGTATTAATATATAATATGTATTATAAATAGTTGAAATAAAATATTTTTTGATATTTTATTTTTTATTTGTAAGTCGCTTTGGATTAAAGCGTCTGCTAAATGAATAAATGTACAGTTCTGTTCATGTTTATTTTGTTTCATTTAATGCATTTTTTTAAGATAACATGACTCTATTGAATATGCATTTTTTAAATTATGATCTGCTCGAAATTATTTAATTGACTAAAATATTATTTTTATGATTGGAAAATTAGCCAGCTTGATCACATTGAGATGCATTTAAATCTCAGTCCTTTTTGATTTTTTTTTTTTTTTTTGGTTTATGATTCATACCTGACATACAAATGGAAGTCTGCCATAGAATTCTCCATAAAATATATATTTTTAAAAGCATGTAATCACAAGTTAAAAGGTCACTCAGATTAATTGGTGAAAATGGTAGCATCCCTGCTTCTTGTCTCTATTGCTCAAGAATCAGGTTATCTGGTCTTTCATTTTCCATCAGTATATCTGATCAGAATAAGAATCGGTGAATCCCGAGGAAGCTGATTACATCTCGTCTGGACTTGTTCTGAATACACACACCTGTTTTCAGTAGATTTCCCAGTTATGTCTGTGTGACAGCTGGATATCCTTCACCATGCCATCAATCACACTGGCCTACTGAGGAAGATATTAGTGCAGAGAGGAGAGGTGATTGTGTTCTGGTGCGAGGGGCACCTTCATCCACCAGCAGCTGAAGGTGACCCTGTCACGGCCTGATTAATGACTCACGGTCTGCAGAACACCAGCAGCTCAGAGCACATGCACATAAAACACAACATGCACATGCACAAAGTGCAGTCAAACCTGCTTAATGTAATTTTCAGTTGTCCATTACCTTCACTAGAGGGCGCTGGTGGCTTGTAATATATAGCGTTAAAAAGTGCATGCAGGATTGTTACCTGAATGCATTTCCTGCTTGCATTACATTTGAAAAAAGACATTACAGGTATCTACAATACAGCAGGTGTGAATGTGCGTCCATTGCACCAAAAGGATCCTAAAAGCTCTTTATGGGTTTTTTTGTAGCACTGTACAACACAATGTATAGGATATGCATGTTTGCAAGCTTGGAGTTAATTAAAAAGCGAACTATGCATTTAATATGCAAATGGCATCGATGTGATGATATTGTATTCTTTCAGGCATTTCCAAGACAAGTGTAGAAATATTTAGATACTTATTGTGTTGTATTTGGTTTTTGTAAGTCAAGCAACCCAGTGCATGTACTTTTATTTAAGTAAGAAAAGGCAAAGTGCTACTAGAACATGCAAAATGATAAAACTGTGAAAGGTTAGGCACAAAGTTTGTGCATTACCTTATTGCCAGCGGTTTGCGTTTCAAAATGTTTTGTGTGTAAGCAATGATTTTATGCAAAAAAAAATTCCATGGAGATCTCTACATTTTGTTCAGTTAGCTAAAACCATTATTGGTAATGTAGCATTTGTAAAAAAAAAAACACACATTTCACATATGTTTGCATACTCTTTAACCTATTTTATCATTTAGACTAATCAATACCACAGGTTTTTTTTCCTTCTTTTTCTGTAGTCACATGTGAAAAATTGTAGCCTCCTCTGGCCTCTATTGCACATGAATAAAGGGTAATATGATGTCTAGTCTTTAATTTTCCATCAGTATGGTGATATTTGATACTTAAGAACAAAGTTATTTTCTTATCTTTTTAAGCACATTTATACAAAGTAATACTTTGCTGAAAATGTTCTCACCCTCAGGCCTTCCAAGAGTTTCTTTATTCATCAGAACGGATTTGGAGAAATTTAGCATCACCTGCTCACCAATGGATGCTCTGCAGTGAATGGGTGCCGTCATGAGAGTCCAAACAGTTGATTAAAAACATCACAATAATCCACAAGTAATCCACACCACTCCAGTCCATCAGTTAACATCTTTTCAAGTGAAAAGCTGAGTGTTAGTAAGAAACAAATCCATTTTAATTGTTGCTGTTCATGGCCAAAATATGAGTCCATAATCCATAATAACGTTTCCTCCAGTGAAAAAGTCCATCTCCTGTTCTCCTCTCACATCAAAATCCACCCACATATTTGTTTAGAAATATTCTGGACTGTTTTGGCTTGTAAACAGTGTTTGATCTGTGCCGATTTCTCTCCTGATTCAGACCAGATTACTTTTTTTGATGACTAGAAGACTCATATTTTAGTCGGAAGTTTAAAAATGCCTTAATGATGGATTTGTTTCTGACAAACATGCAGCTTTTGGCTTCACAAGACTAATGTCTTGATGGACTGGAGTGGTGCGGATTATTGTGATGTTTTTATCAGCTGTTTGGACTCTCGTTCTGACGGCACCCATTCACTGCAGAGGATCCATTGGTGAGCACGTGATGCTAAATTTCTCCAAATCCGTTCTTATGAAGAAACAAACTCCTCTACGTCTTAGATGACCCGAGGGTGAGTAAATGTTCAGCAAATTTTCATTTCTATTCCTTTATAGCAGTAATACTGATCAAAATGCTCGTCCTTAATATGTAATAATGTGAAATGGAGTTGGCATTTCTTGTTCGTCTTGCACACTGACCCCTTTTTAAAGTGTGTGGGAATGAAATAAACGTCTCATTAAAGGAAGTGATTTTAAATGGACTTGACTGCAGTTTAGCTCAAATCTACATGCACACGAGAACCTTCACAGAACACTGTTCAAACCCAGCGCTGCTTGTTCCCGATGCACCGTTATTCACCCCGTACTGATCTGTCCATCAGTGTGTGAGCTTTGATTTCTGCTGCTTGTCACTTTATGTCTCTCTCTTTGCCTCTGCTTTGCTCGCTTTATGTTGCTTTGCTCTGCTGTGCTTGTGCTTGATGGTTTGCCTTTTAATCACGACCTGCTCTCGTTTTGTTTGTTTCCTTCTTTTTTGTCATTTCCAGATTTGCATATCCATTCTTCCTACCTCCTTCATTTGCCTTTCCTTCACTGAGAATGGCAAGCGGGCATTCCACTGACAAATTCAGTTTTCTGTACCCAACAGACACCAGTCAGAACGTTAAGAGGTCAGTCTAGTGCTCAGCACCTTCCACCATGTGTGTGCATGCGTGTTTGTGGGGTTGGAACGTTATTGATGTAGTGTTCACTCTGATTCCAGCTGTTATGATGAGCCTCATATGGGGCTGTATGTCATGTTTCTCTCCTCTAGGGTTTGTATGATCTTGATGTGTTTTGTTTCTCAGGTTTCTGGTTGCTGGTTTGTACCTCTGATCAAGCTTATTAAAGTCAACATGAAATGTCATTCATAATCATAACCCATTCTACTTTCATAATGATGAGGTCATATATTTACGGGTCTTATCCGAGTTGTTTTTTAAAAATGGCCATTATAGCATCAGGTAATTCCTGGTGAGCGGCTGAGTGATGTCACATGTAAAAGTAAGTCGACTTTGATTTCATGTTGACTTTAAAGCAATAAGGGGTGGTTATAGTCTAATCTTAATTATAATATGTTTAAAATGAAATGTATAATTTAATAAATATACAATACTGTTGAAATGATTTGAGTCTTTATGTTCACCAAGGCTGCATCTATTTGATCAAAAATACAGAGAATATTCCAAAATATTATTAGAATTTAAAATAAATGTTTTTATTGTAATATATTGTAAAATGTAATTTTTTACTGTGATCCCAAGCTGAATTTCCAGCATCATTACTCCAGTCGTCATTGTATACACATGATCCTTCAAAAATCATTCTAATATGCTGATTTAGTGCTCAAGATACATTTCATTGCATTTTTTCAGAATTTTTTGATGAATAGTAAGTTCAAAAATGTATTTGAAATGTAATTTACTCCTGAATAATCACAATAAACATGGTTATGGTTGGCATTAATGTATAATTTAAGTGTGTGCATGCATGTGTGTGTGTATGCCTTTTCAAACAGGTCTCATTCAATGCTTTATAATGTCATTTTATATCTCTAATTAAGCTTATACTTGTTTATTAAAGCAATTAGCCATGAGAGGCCATGTGCTAATAATTTTACTATGGTAAAGAGATCTTGTTAAGCAACTGATCCCCCTTATTGGGGTCATATGATGCTGCTAAAAAGAACATTATTTTGTGTATTTGGTGTAATGAAATGTTTATGCGGTTTAAGGTAAAAAAAAAACACATTATTTTCCACATACTGTACATTATTGTTTCTCCTCTATGCCCCGCCTTTCTAAAACGCGTTGATTTTTACAAAGCTCATCATTCTGAAAAAGCGAGGTGTGCTGTGATTGGTCAGCTATCCAGTGCGTTATGATTGGCTGAATACCTCAAGTGTGTGACGGAAATGTTACGCCCCTACCATATAGTGATGATGCCCTGTCCGGCCGGAGCGATGATTCAAAAACATGAAAACCCATTATTAACGAGGCATTCGTTGCATCCAGCGGGGTCGAGCCGTTTTAGGTAGGCGTGGCTGACTCTTAACTTTTATAAAGAATATCTCTTTGGATTTGAGACTTTAGTCTTTGCAACTTTACAGATCTTCTTTATGCACCAAGAGCTTGTAACACTCCAAAGAGAAAGGAAAAATTGAAATCGCATCATATGACCTCTTTAAACATAGTAAAATCACTGCAATACATGACCTCTCATGCTTTTATAAAAGACTATAAGACTGCAACTTTCCAAATAATTTTTCTGTGCATTTTACATGCTGATCAAATGTCTAGGGGAATAGAAAGCTGCGGTTTATGTGTTTCATGCGGCATCAAGCCGCTTTGATTCGTAAGATGTCGTGACCTTGATCTTCCATACTTGTGTTTGTGAGTGTGTGATCATAGATCATAAATACGCTCGCTCTGACATTTCACCTCTCCCACGCACGCGCTCGTGACACACTCACGGCACATCTGAACACATGCTAACAGCTCTGTGCTCACAGCCTGTGTGGCCAAGGTGCGAGGGGAAGGTTCTGACGCATGATCCTCCCCTATTCGTGAGCTTTTCTTTCTCTATTTCTATCTTTCCCCACGACTGACTGACTGATAATGCCATCAGAGTGTTCAGGGGAGATCAGACTCACACACATGTACAATGAGAGAGGATAACACACACACACACACACATACACACTGTTTTCCATAAGGAGCCACTCTGCTGCTGTTTTCATGCTCAGCACATGTTTTCTCATTTTTAACATTGTTAGAAGACACAGTTTTGTACTCCGTCTCCTGTATTTGTATGCTTATGAGTAGAAGTTAAAGTCCAAGTGTAGAGTGATCACCACTTTATATTTGAACGTTATCAAATGTTTTAAAGGATGTAGAGGATGGAAGAAGAACAAGAATATTGTTGGATATAATTACTTATTAAACAGTATCTATCACATTACTGTTCAAATTTTTGTGGTCGGCACTTTTTTTTTTTAATTAATACTATTTTTAGCAAGGATGTTTTAAATTGATTTTTTTATTATTACAAAGACATTTATAATATTGCAAAAGATTTTCACTTCAAATAAATGCAGTTCCTTTGAACTTTTTATTTATCAAAGAATCCTGAAAAAATTCTATATTGATAACAATACAAAATGTTTCTTAAGCAACAAATCAGCATATTAGAAGGTTTTCTGAAAATCATGTGACACTGAAGACTGGCGTAATGATGCTGAAAATTCAGCTTTGCATCACAGAAATTAATTTTATTTTAATATATATTCAAATAGAAATTGGTTATCATACATTGTAATAATATATCTCAATATTACTGATTTTCTTGAATTTTTGATCAAATAAATGCAGCCTTGGTGAGCAGAAGAGGCTTCTTTCAAAAAATTTTAAAAAACCTTACTGACCCCAAACATTGAAGTGAATACATGACCTCTCATACATTGTAATAATATCATACATTGTTATCATACATTGTAATAATATATCTCAATATTACTGATTTTCTTGAATTTTTGATCAAATAAATGCAGCCTTGGTGAGCAGAAGAGGCTTCTACATGACCTCTCATACATTGTAATAATATCATACATTGTTATCATACATTGTAATAATATATCTCAATATTACTGATTTTCTTGAATTTTTGATCAAATAAATGCAGCCTTGGTGAGCAGAAGAGGCTTCTTTCAAAAAATTTTAAAAAACCTTACTGACCCCAAACATTGAAGTGAAGTGAAGTGACATGTGGCCAAGTATGGTGACCCATACTCAGAATTAGTGCTCTGCATTTACCCATCCAAAGTGCACACACACAGCAGTGAACACACACAAACCGTGAACACACACCCGGAGCAGTGGGCAGCCATTTATGCTGCAGCGCCCGGGGCAGTAGGGGGTTCGGTGCCTTGCTCAAGGGCACCTCAGTCATGGTATTGAAGGTGGGAGAGAGCGCTGTACATTCACTCCCCCCACCTACAATCCCTGCCGGTACGAGACTCGAACCCACAACCTTAGGGTTATGAGTCCGACTCTCTAACCATTAGGCCACGACTTCCCCACGACTGTTAGTGTAAACTACAACAGACAGGTAAATTGACATTAATGGTAATCTAATACTTACATTCAGACGCAAGGTTTTATCATGCAAATACAACAAAATCATGTGAAAAGCTGCAGTCAAACATGTGAAGACTGTCTCAACTGAGGCTTTACAGAACCATCTAAAATGTGATCTGAGGGTAAACTGGGATTTACATAATTTTTCAAAACCAGGTAAAAATGGCCATTGAGAGGTGTTTTTGTGGTATACAGGAAATATGATGCAACTTGTGTGAATATGTAGGGCCTACAAATTTTGAGTCATGCGTGCTGATTGTTGCAGCAGTTCATGCCTTTTAAATCAACATCAGTCTTATTAATTTGCTTTCTCTCTCTCTCTCTCTTTCTGTCTGTCTCTCTCAGTAAGAACAGGCTGTCTTCCACCATGAACCCGGTGTACAGTCCAGTGCAGCCGGGAACCCCATACGGAAACCCCAAGAATATGGCATACACAGGTATGTGATGAGAGACACACACACACATGTGTATTTGAAGACAACACAACATGCTTTATTAATGTCTTACTCTATACAATTCATCAGTGCATGCTAAAGAAGAGGTTTGTTTTCATTAAAATGTAATGAACCACCAATGAAAGGACTGTTCTGCTGATGCATCCAAGATCATAAATAATATTAGCCAATAATATCATCTACTAATGAGATTTTCCTATTTCACTCTGAAATATATAGAGGAAGTTAAAGGTGCAAATGTTGTTGTAATGTCATCTGTAAAGGGATAGTTCACCCAAAAATGACATTTTTCAACATTAGAATGATTTCTGAAAGATCGTGTGATACTGAAGACTGGAACTAATGATGCTGAAAATTCAGCTTCTGATCTCATGAATAAATTACATTTTAAAATATATTCAAATAGAAAACAGTTCTTGAGATTGTGGTAATACTTCACAATATTACTGATTTTACTGTGTTTTTTATTAAATAAATACAGCCTTGATGAGAATAAAAGAAAGCCTTTAAAAATGAACAATTTCACAAATTTTATTTTTGTCATGATTGATGGCAGGGTTTGTCAGTGATAAGCAGGAACGCTGCAGTGTTTTCAACTAAGCGTGTGCATTAATGCAAAGTTCACCTCTAACCTCTGTTCAGTGTTGGTGTGTGTGTGTGTGTGTGTGTGTGTGTGTGTGTGTGTGTGTGTGTGTGTGTGTGTGTGTGTGTGTGTGTTTGTTAATGCTACAATGCTACGGAAAACAAGTCTGCCGTGTTATGCAGAAGCATTTTAATTAGGCAAAACTGTTTTAATGTAATGTTGCAGATAATTCAGCAAATACAGTTATCTATTTATTAGAATATTGTTAATGTTATTCACTTAAAAGTTTGTTAATGTTCTGTTATTGTTAATAAATTATTTGCATTGGCTGTCAATTATACTGTAATTTTTAATGGCTATAATTACTAATTGTGTGTGTGTGTGTGTGTGTGTGTGTGTGTACTTGTTAATGCTACATTGTGGGGACCAAATGAAACCAAACCTGAAATTTTTGACATTGTGGTGACTGGCCTGCGGTCCCCATGAGTGACAAAAGTTATTAAAAATAGTAAATGATGTTTATCTGAAAGTGTAACAATGCAAACAGGTTTTCCGTAAGGGGTAGGTTTAGGGTTAGGGTTGGGTTAGGGGATAGAAAATATGGTTTGGTCAATATAAAAGTAATAGAAGTCTATGGACAGTCCCTACAATTCACAGAAACAAACGTGTGTGTGTGTGTGTGTGTGTGTGTGTCACTCATGGCAGGTGTTTGTCTGCTGCTATGGCAACCGTGGGCTCATATTTGATGTGCTCTCATTAAAGGGATTCTCTGGGTCAATAGAGACTGTTTACATGCCAACATCTCTCTCTCCCTCGCTTTCAGTCTTTTCATGATGCATTTCTGCCATTACCAAGAGGAAAATATTATTGCTTAGAGGTTTTCTCACATACGAAGTATCAGTTTTATTTTAGAAAATTCTTTAGGAGAAATAAAAATAGACAGTTGTTGACATACAGTGAAAGTATCTCAGTTAAGCAGTAATAATGAATGTAGAAAGCAGATTATTTCTTGACATAATTTAATGGAAACATAGAATTGAATCGATACACATTTGAGCACAATTTAAGACATTGTGGAGATCACTTCTAAAATTCTGCAAAACTCTGCGCTTATATGATTAGAAGGGAGATTTTTATTGTAAAGTCAATCTTAGGCTGGTAGCTTTGTTTTGGATCGTAAGTAGCTGGTCATTAGTTAGTCAGGGTTGTCTTGAATTTATTAATCGAACAGGATGTAGAATTGTAAATCGTATTAAATTTGAATTAAGAAGTAGAACTGAAATGTAATGAAATTCAGTACAGTTGAAATAGCTGCTGTAAGTGTAGGTTTTACTGTAATACATGTCATTTCTCACTATAAATTACCCATTGACCTAATATAGGAAACACTAAATGTATAAATTATATATTAATTAATTAATACATAAATAAATAAATTAAATTATTTATTAAAATTATATATAATTGTTAGTATTATTATAAAATATTATTAATTAGATAATCATATTAAAATGATTAGATCTAATATTTACCTGATGTTTTCATTTTTAAAAATGTCATTTTTCGACCCAAATTAAAAAAAAGACTTCTAGTGAGAGAGATTCTCTATAGAAGACAAGACAGACAGCACACAGTTCACATTCTTATAATAATAACTGTATGACATTATTAAAGTACAAGCGGTTGTGCATGTCTGTCGACGCTGGAGTGAACTGAAGTGAAAGAATGAGGAAAGAAATGTTAATATCCCGTTTTAAAGAGTTGCGGGTCAGTGCTCATGCAGGTGGAGAGAGTGTTTGTATCGGGGCTGGAAACACTCGTAATCAAATCGTGTCTTTGTGAGCACTGCTCAACGCATGGATTACTTTTCAGGTCATTTCTGTGGAGCGAATGTATAGGACACTCTGTACTTAAACACAAACAGTCTGATCTTCTGGTATCTACAAAGACGAATATCACCATATCTTAGGATACCGTTTCGTGTAGCTTCGGAAGCATTTAATGCATTTCATCTCTTTAAAAGTGAAGTATGTTATTTAAAGTATTTTTAGTTGCTGAATGAGACCTCTAAATTAATATCATTAAGCTGATTTCCGAAAAGTGTGCCACTTTCAAAGTGTTGTTTGGGAAACTAGTTTGAAAACAGTCATTCTGTTTCCATTTGGTGCAGATAGTAATACGAAAATGACACATTTCAGCTTTAAAGACAAAAATAATTCAATGTTTCAGCATATTTACTTTCTTAAAACATGTTTATTATTAATGATTCATCAGTGCACATTATTCCAAAGAAGAAAATATTGGTCTTTGTAATCTTTCACCATAATGTAATTAGTTTCCTTGTTATTAATTCCTTTCTGAAATCTTCTAAAAGGCTAATAGTCAAGTCACATTTATTAATGTGGCACTTTATACATTACAGATTATTTCAAATCGAATTGTTAATATGCCGATATTTTTCAACTCATTTTGTCCGATAGCCGATGCTGATACCGATATACTTCCTTTTGTTTGGAAACACGACCAAGTCTCTCCTGAATTATAAGCAAATTATTTTAAATTTTGGTTCGTTTTTAAAAGAACTTATTTGTTAGAATTAAATAAACAATAATGAAGTTATTTTCTAATGACAGTACACTGAAGATTTGAAAATAACTATAAATAAAACTATATTCAATCGTGGCATTTTTTTCCTCTCCGAAAGATGCGGTGGTAACCTTAACATTTTATTTTAAGATTTAACATTTGTAAAAGGTCTAAAGCAAAAGAGTTGTACAAATTCTGAAAATCTTTTTGCTTTTTGATTTAAACATTAATGAATAAATCAGTATATATAAAATTATTTAAAGGGGTCCTATGACGCTGCTAAAAAATAACATTATTTGGTGTAATGCAATGTGTTTATGCGGTTTTAACATTATTTTCCACATACTGTACATTATTGTTTCTCCTCTATGCCCCGCCTTTCTGAAATGCGCCGATTTTTACAAAGCTCATCAGTCTGAAAAGCGAGGTGTAAGCTGATTTGCCAGCTATCCAGTGCATTGTGATTGGCCGAATACCTCAAGCGTGTGACGGAAATGTTGTCCCGGGGCGACGAGACAAAACCAATAAAACCCATTACAAACAAGGCATTTGTTGCATCCAGTGGGGACATAATTACGGATTATAATAACTTATACTGTCTTTTTACGTGTTGCATATCCCACCACGTAAACATAAAACCATGTCTGCATTTGTGATCAGAGAAACAACAAAAACCAAGCGCTAATTTACTCTACACTGCTCAAAACTCTCGTTTGAATAGTCAGTGGCAAATTCTTTAAATATGAAAATTTACGCCCATGCTGTGAGTCAGAAGCGCCAGACTGTACTTGCAAAGTTGGAATTGCCCCACTTTATAGAAACAGCCTTTGTGCACAGCCGGCATTGTAGGCTACTCTCCCAGGTTCAGGAAACAGTCCTCAGTAAAATGCTCTGCACACATCTGAATATTTGGGTTGAACTGTTCTGGAACAGTGTTGTAAATACAACTTAACCACTGATTTCTAGTTGTGTCCTCTTTTGGAAGACGAAACAAAGTATTTTCGCTTTCGCAGTGAAACACAGCGTCTCCACGACATGGCGGCGGCAACAATACTACAGCGAGAATCAAAGTTACGCCTTCTTTCTTTGCATGAACATCTGGGCGATGTTCTTCCCACACAGTGACATAGACATGTGGGGGCGTGTTAGAACGAGCTGTTTTAGGAGGGCGTAGTCAAGTCTTAACTTTTATAAAAAATATCTCTTTGGGTTTGAGACTTTAGTCTTTGCAACTTTAGGGATCTTACCTATGCACAAGAGCTTGTAACACTCCAAAGGGAAAGGAAATCTTGAAATTGCATCATATGACCCCTTTAATTTAAGTGACATGTTTGTGAAATTTTTTGTTGTTGTTGTTCATGTAAGCTATTGCTTCTGACCTTAAAATCAAAACATACTCATGATTTTATGACATCAATTACTGCTTTATTTAATCAGAAACACAGTCTAAATGTTATTTTGCTTTCATTTTATTAGAAGTAGGCCAACAGCGCCCCCTAAGGAATTAAAACTCTTTACTGAGCGAGCATTAGGACCCGGGGGAGGCTGCCGCTGCTTCCAATGCACGTGCTACAAACGCGTCATTCTGTACATGCATTCTCAGTTTAAATGCAGTGATCCAAAACAGTGAATCTAATCATCATTCAGGCAAAACTTTGATTCAAGAATGAGCAACACTGTTGACGTGATCCAATCGCTAGCACACCCGAGCACATGCGAGTTAATGTATTCCTCTTATATGCAAGACATATCGGCATAATTTTTCTTACCTGGCCGATGCCGATATTTACATTTAAAGCCATTATCGGCCGATTCCGATATTGGTCCGATAATATCATGCATCCCTAGCAGCATATGCTGTAAAAAGTGCTCTGGCAGGTGAATTTGAACTTCTTGCTTATGTACATGCCAGAGTTGAGCATTCTTCTAAACATCTTACAGATAAATATACAGAAGTGCAATGAGATTTAGTTAATGATGACAGAGTCGTCATTTCTGGGTGAACTGTTCCTTTAAGAGGCACATGATCAAACAGATACTCACAGGTTCACTCTTAACAAACTGAACGGCTGTATTTGTCCTAATTCCTGAATCCTGAATTTGTTCTGAATTCATGTTCAGACATGAATACTCTTTCCCATGATGCCCTATACATCTGACAGCTTGTGCTGTTCAGTATGGGAGAAATGCGCTGCCTTTCACACTCATCCGACTGTGTCTTATTGAGACAGACGAGTTGTAATGGAGACCATCTGTGCCCATCCTGTTCAATCAAGAGCTCACCTCGCACTCTCTGACTCTCTTTGTCCTTTTCTTATGATGGCACAGGTTACAGAGAGGGATTTGGATCAGTATGTCTGGAAACATTAACAGCCTCTTCATTTACAGAAATGAATCCGCACTTGCTGTCACAAATTTATGTTCTGATGACTTTAATAGAAGGAAAACATTTGTTACACTCTAATTTGATGTATTTGGTGTATGCTCAAAATCGTCAGCAGTGCCGAGATCATGGGTTTGATTCCCCGTGAATGCATGTACTTGATAAAATGTATATTTTATTTATTCTGGGGGGTTTGTTTTCAGAGAAATTAATACTTTTATTGGACAAGTATGTATTAAATTGATCAAAAGTGACAGCAAAGACATTTATAATGTTTCAAAAGATTTCTATTTCAAATAAATGCTGTTCTACTTTTTATTCATCAGAGGAAAATATCATGGTTTCCACAAAAAATATGAAGCAGCGCTACTGTTTTCATCATTGATGATAATCAGAAATGTTTCTTGAGCAGCAAATCAGCATATTAGAATGATTTCTGAAGATCATGTGACACTGAAGACTGGAGTAATGATGCTGAAAATACAGCTGCGCATCACAGGAATAAAATATATTTAAAAATATTTTCAAAATAGAAAACAGGTCTTTTAAATTGTAATAATATTTCACAATATTACTGTTTTTACTGTGTTTTTAATCAAATAAATGCAGCCTTGATGTGCATAAGAGAAAATAATACAAACTTTTGAACTGTAGTCTATATACCAATTTAATATAAGAAATGACATATATATTTAAAAAAAATTTGAATTATTGGAAAATTGTTTATCTTATATCAGTGAAAAATTACTTTGTTAGCCAGTGTAGTTCAGTCATTAACAATGGCCATTATATCATCCAATAAATTTATCATTTTAATTTCATGTTGATTCTCAGCCAGTTTTAGTGTCATTTCTCAACTGTTGTCTCTTTGCATGTGTACAGGTTATCCTGGAGTTTACCCTACGACTGCCCCGACCTACACAGCCAACCTTTACCAGACAGGTAGCCCGGGATACCCACCAGGTGTGTACACACACTCACACACATGCTTTCTGTCCACTGAATATGGAGTATTACACACTTACATTAGCAAAAAAATACATCAGGCCAAGCATTTACACACTTTAATGATCCATTAACACCAATAAAACACGCATTTGTATTCACAAACGCATACGGTCCCTAATGCATTATACTGTCTAGCCTCGTTTTGATGATGCTGGCCTGTAACTGAACAATTAAGCAGCGTATTACTGTTATATAGTGCTGCTTCCAGCTAGTGATGCAATGTTCGGACTAAATATATACAATAAATCTTCATAAGCGTTACAAAATTGACTTTATTAGTATTCATGTAACAGTTTAACTTGAACAATACTGATGTATATGGCCACTAATTGTGTTTTATTTCTTTATGAGCTGCTCCCTGAAATGAATTCTATCAATAAATCTGTCTCGATCTGGAGAGATATATGTTGATAATGCATCCGCAAATGATATTTCAAAGTTTTTCAGCTGTAAATCTGCATGTTTTGAGTCTTGAGAGAAAGCAGACGCAGTGAGGATGAGTCATGTGAAGAAGGTTGTCTTTAAGTGCAGATCATTTTCCATTAGTATTGTGTTAACAGGCTTGTTTGAGCTCAACTTTTAGCATGGTGTTTGATACTGTATTGTTAAAAGAGATCAACTGGATTTGTGCTGTAAGCAGACATTTTTGGATCAGGATGTAAGTGGCGCAGTAGTGGATTGGTTTGTGAGGTCTGTGGTGTAATCAGTGCCGCCCTGAACAGATGCTTGTATAATTTCTGTCTGTAATGTTATGACATGCCACCTGCCATTTTCAGATGCTTATACAGGCTGTCGTAGATCAGAGATCAAGTTGACATTTTGCTGTCAGAATCAGGTTTTTTTATTAATATTTTAGTTTGGTCTAGTTTCTGGCTTGTTTGGATATGATCTCAGATATCAGTAAATGGTACTTTTGGTTGACCAGCAGTTTTTTTACACAATCTGATACACTTTCTCAACAAATTCTTTTGGTTTCCACCCAATATCACCATTAAAAGCATTTAGAGCTCAAAGATTTCTGCAAGATCTTTTTTGTCAGTAAAAATACCAATTAAAACACATATTACAAAACATAGTCTGTCTGATTAGACTAGTGGTAATAAAATGCTAAATACCACAAATAAAACGCAGCTAAATGATAAAGAGAATTGTTGGGATAGCAAATTATCAGCTTTTAAAAGGGAATTATGACATATATATTTTTGGTTCGATACGGCACAGTGGTGTCATGGTTCGGTACGGTCGGTACGGGGGTAATTAGTTACGTCGCAATTTTGGAAATATTTCTGATTTTAAACCATGAAGGCAAGCCAATTGATATCACACACAAGCAACGTGCAAACTTTGCGCAAGAGTTACGCCGGTGAACGTCTTAATCTCAGTCAATTCACTATATGCAGAAAGTGAAAGTAAAAACGGATTGACGGCGTAATGACGAGGCTTTCGGCATCTGACGCCGCATATTCTCGACGAGACGACGAGAGACCAATCTACTTCAACATATGCTGATAACGGTATATAGCTAACTGTTTTCATTTATTGCCTTAATATTTCTAATATTACATAGTGAATTTTTTTTTAGAAGAAACATATTTCGTGTTAAGCAGGTTGTTTTTGAAAGTCAGTGCTTGAAATAAAAGCTTTTTATTTTATAGATTTTTTTATTGATGACTGCAGTGTTAATATTTTAATTGTAGGCCTATAAATCATTGTATAGCTAAATGACCTGTATTAAAATACCTTTTTAAAAAACATTTGAATTGAGGAGTAAATATATAGCCTAATCTTTTGTTGTCCTCGCAGCACGTCAGTTATTCGGTAATTATTGCGGGGCAAATTAATTGTAATTTTAATTGAATAGGCCTACTAAAAGTAACTTCATAATAATAATAACAGGCCTAATAAAAATAAGAATGTAACAGGCCTACATTAATTGGAAATGCCAAATATTTTAATATTGCCAACAATTGATGTTTTGGACAATATCTCTGGCTATCGTCGATTCAAGATCATCATCTTTCGACGCACCCCAGCAAGGGGAGGTTAACGCGGGGCAGACAGCACGTTGCCTGTTACGTCGTTTAGGCTGCCTTGTTGAGCGCAGTGGCACTGAGAACATCATATTTCACACACTTTAAGCTGTTTTATTTTCCAAATGTAATGGGATTAGTTCAACGAATCAAATCGTTCGGTTTGTAATGCGCACCGAACCGAAAGCCTCGTACCGAACGGTTCAATACGAATACATGTATCGTTACACCCCTAGTGGTGTGTGCCGACTACAACTACTCCACTAATTTTACACTATTTATATATTTCGTATCACGCTAAAATAAAGTTTAGCACAATTTTACATTAGGTGGAAGATTTTCATTCATGTTATTGATTCTAAAAGCTATCGTATTGATTTTAATTGTTTATTGGCCATAATTTTTTCCTCTAGCTGTACATTATTTAGTTATCTCATATCACAGTAAAATAAAAATAATAAAAGTGTCAGTAGTGATGAAGCTTAGCTATTTTTATGTATTGTAACTGATTTTAATAATTACAAAATGCATTGTTAATTTTTTTGATACATTTCAGCACTATTTTACATTAAGTAGAAAGTTTTCTAACATATTATTGATTTTAATAACTACTAACTATAATCAGTTATCAACCATGTTTTTCTGTTTTAATTATCAGTATAGGCAAAATCTGCTAGTGGTCGACCTCTACGTATCTATTAAATGTATGGATCTTTTTAGACTGTTCTTCCTTTAGTGTCATAATTTAATCATTATCATACGTATCATGCATAAACGCAGGCTGAAGTGCTACGGTAGTCATGTGTGAGGCATCTATGCGGCAGAGTCCCATCATGCCATTGTGATTCCAGCAGTCTCTTTGTCCCGCTGTTCTCTTGTGTTTGGGAACATCTCGTGATTTCACACCATTGCCCCCTTGTGGCTCTGACAGGTTTGCTGCATTTGGAAGGAAGGCTTACAATTAAATACCTTTTAATCACTTTGCTGATGCGTTTATCTGACGTAACATCCAGTAATCTTGTTACAGAGATAGTCCTCCTGGAGTAATCCGGGTTACGTGGCTTTCTTAAGGTCAATAGTTCATGAGGGTTCCCTTTGAGGGATTTCAGCCTACAGTGTACCTTGCTTAGATCTTTATTCTCTATGTCAACCTCTATGCCATTAGCATGCTCTCTCTATATATAGATATGTTATATATATGTGACCCTGGAGCACAAAAGTAGTCATAAGTAGCACGGGTATATTTGTAGCAATAGCCAACAATACATTGTATGGGTCAAAATTATCGATTTTTCTTTTATGCCAAAAATCATTAGGATATTAAGTAAAGATCATGTTCCATGAAGATATTTTGTAAATTTCCTACCGTAACTATATCAAAACTTAATTTTTGATTCGTAATATCCATTGCTAAGGACTTCATTTGAACAACTTTAAAGGAGATTTTCTCAGTATTTAGATTTTTTTTGCACCCTCAGATTCCAGATATTGCCAAATATTGTCCTATCCTAACAAACCATACATCAGTGGAAAGATTATTTATTCAGATTTCAGATGATGTATAAATCTTAATTTAAAAAAAATGACCCTTATGACTTGGTTTTGTGCTCCAGGGTCACATATAGATATGTTCTTCCTATAGTGAAGCATATATTATATTATAGTATATTATATTATTTTATTTTATATATACATATTTTACGTGTATGTTTACTTTTTTTATAGAAAAATCTTTTGATTTTTTTTTCAGTCTTTATTGCTATTAGAGAATAATATATCAATCCCAAATAAAGAACATTTAGTACATTACTGTCTTTTATACCACATCCTATATTAGGTAACTAGCTAGCTAGTTTGGTCATTTTAGCTTCACTAACCTGGGAAAATTTCCATGCACTTCTTGCTTCAGGATTGTGGGTAGTGTTAGACAATTTAACTCAATATTGAAATCAGTGGTTACTATGGTAGATCTGTCCATTTGTTGACTAGTAGTTTTACTCCTGGAGCCCTACTTTTGGGGTTTATGTTAATGCAGGTTTACTGATGGACTGTGAGGGGAGGAGAGGAGAGTCTGGGCGATTTTTGGAGATAAAGATGTGGCCACACAATTAGTGACGCATGTGTGTAACTCTTCTTGTGTTGTTGTGTTTGTTTGGGACAGTGCTGCTGGTGAAGCAGGCCTGGCCCCAGACGGCATCTGCTCCGGGGCCCGCAGAAGGCTCCTATGACCTGGCCATGGACGCTGGCTCAGAGAGCAGGCAGTACCAGGCCTCATCTACAGCATTCAGTAAATATCATTACTATACTCTACTGTAACTGCTGTGTGTTCCCTGTGACTCTATAACACACAAACACACACCCTTTCCCCGCACTGCATCTGATGAACACTTGCCCTCATTGTTCTGTTTCCCCCGAGTACACACACACACACACAAACACAGTTTTGACACTGCCGGATTTGAGCACATAATGACTGTGTAAACACACTTTACAACAAGTTCTGTTCCAAAACCCTGCTGCCTACTTACTTACATAGGCAACTATAAGGCAGCATCCTAAGTCAAAATGAAACTTTTTTTAATTCACTTTTTATTTATTTATTTATTTTTCCGGATGTGATTTTTCTGTATTTATATTGATTTCCATATTTTTAGACCTGAAGTATGACCCATACGAATTTCGTAAATACAAGAAAAAAATGGCTTTTTATTATTATTTTAAATAATAATATTAATAATAATAGTGATTTTTAATATTCAAATTAAATTTATTGCACAATACAATTATTGCAATAGTAATCCATTTATTTTTGATTATTGATTTGTTAAATATTTAAAAAAATCATATAATAAAAATATTATTTTGAATAATTATTTTGCCTATTAATTAACATTCTTATTTTATATTTATTTTTAATTATAACAGCAACTGACATGAAGTGCTCTGGAGACTCAATTTATAATTGTTTGCAATACAATTTGACATTAGTATATAAAATAGATATGCTTTGTAGATAGATTTATAGAATTTTAATACGATTTAAAGTGTTTTTATATAAACATTTATAATTGCCATTTTTTTCCACTTTGTATGCCAGTTTGAGTGATTTTTCACAATGCATTCTGGGATTGTCCTCACCGCAAAAGATAATGCTATTGTAATTTGGTCAAAAATTCATATATACTAATACAGTTTTTATTAATATATGTTTATTTACTTTCCATTTTAATGTTAATGTTTTCATTAAAATTTCGTAATTTTGTGGTGTTGTTTTGTCATTTCTATTAGTTTTTTATGTTTTTTATTCATTTTATTTTAGTTTCGGTAATTTAATACATCAACTAAATGAACATGAACTAGCCGAATTGTAATAAGCTGAAGTATTTTATATTTTTTAAATAAATTTGATGTCGGGTAACGTTTCAAGTAACGAAAATGTTTTTTATGGATTTCGTTATCTCTGAAAAGCAATATATTTTCTTTTGTGTCAGATTGTGCTTATGATGTCTTTAAAGCGCTGTCTAGTTAGGCAGCTCACTAGGGTTTGTGACAGGTAATATCTCACATTGCATAATGTAGACATACAGTCTGAGATCTAAGGTTTCATTCTCACTGTAGACAGTCAGCTGGGCTTATTTATAATTGCCATTTTTTCCCACTTTGTATGCCAGTTTGAGTGATTTTTCACAATGCATTCTGGGATTGTCCTCACCGCAAAAGATAATGCTATTGTAATTTGGTCAAAAATTCAAATCATTGATATACTAATACAGTTTTTATTAATATATGTTTATTTACTTTCCATTTTAATGTTAATGTTTTCATTAAAATTTCGTAATTTTGTGGTGTTGTTTTGTCATTTCTATTAGTTTTTTATGTTTTTTATTCATTTTATTTTAGTTTCGGTAATTTAATACATCAACTAAATGAACATGAACTAGCCGAATTGTAATAAGCTGAAGTATTTTATATTTTTTAAATAAATTTGATGTCGGGTAACGTTTCAAGTAACGAAAATGTTTTTTATGGATTTCGTTATCTCTGAAAAGCAATATATTTTCTTTTGTGTCAGATTGTGCTTATGATGTCTTTAAAGCGCTGTCTAGTTAGGCAGCTCACTAGGGTTTGTGACAGGTAATATCTCACATTGCATAATGTAGACATACAGTCTGAGATCTAAGGTTTCATTCTCACTGTAGACAGTCAGCTGGGCTTTTGGAGTTGGATTGCAGCGTTAAATGAGTGTTGCGGGACTGAATTAGACAGATTGAATGGCTCAGCTAGACTAAAGAGAGTTGAATCCGGTGTGTTGCATCAGTGGTTGGTTAAATGTGTAGAAATGGCTGACGGCTTGTCTTCGGTATGTAGGGAATCTGTTGGTGTGTTGTGTAACTAATAACGCCTCAAGCAATGTATTCTTCTCATTTGTGCAGCTGATGTCGCATTCATGTGCATTTTTTACAACTTTGTTGTCAACAGTCCTCCAATAAAAGCCAGATGGTGTGTGTAGAAAAAGAGAAAGTCTGTCAGTGTGTGTTTGCTTGTTCAGTATGATATTTCTGACTTGAAATGTGGCACACTTGTAGAATTACAGCGCACTCCCACCTTACAACTCTAGTGTGCTTTACTGTTGCTCACCAAAAGGGGCGACATGGAGGTTTTGGAAATCCAACCAGTATGGAAGCCCGTTTCCGCCACTGAATAAAAAATAAAAAATATTTTTTATCTCACAATTCTGACTTATTTTCTCATAATTGCATGATAAAAACTCGCAATTCTGACTTTATTTATCAGAATTGTGATACAAACTTGCAATTCTGACTTTTTTCTCAGAATTGCGTGATATAAACTCGCAATTGCGAGTTGCAATTCTGAGCAATAAAGTCATAACTGCGAGATCTAGACTCGCTATTCTGACTTTATAACTCGCAATTCTGACTTTATATCTCGCAATTCTGACTTTATATCTCGCAATTCTGACTTTATATCTCGCAATTCTGACTTTATATCTCGCAATTCTGACTTTATATCTCACAATTCTGACTTTATATCTTGCAATTCTGACTTTATATCTCACAATTCTGACTTTATAACTCGCAATTCTGACTTTATATCTTGCAATTCTGACTTTATATCTCACAATTCTGACTTTATAACTCGCAATTCTGACTAATGTATTCTTCTCATTTGTGCAGCTGATGTTGCATTCATGTGCATTTATTACAACTTTGTTGTCAACAGTCCTCCAATAAAAGCCAGATGGTGTGTGTAGAAAAAGAGAAAGTCTGTCAGTGTGTGTTTGCTTGTTCAGTATGATATTTCTGACTTGAAATGTGGCACACTTGTAGAATTACAGCGCACTCCCACCTTACAACTCTAGTGTGCTTTACTGTTGCTCACCAAAAGGGTTGGAGGTTTTGGAAATCCAACCAGTATGGAAGCCCGTTTCCGCCACTGAATAAAAAATTTAAATTATTTTTTATCTCACAATTCTGACTTATTTTCTCATAATTGCGTGATAAAAACTCGCAATTCTGACTTTATCAGAATTGTGATACAAACTTGCAATTCTGACTTTTTTCTCAGAATTGCGTGATATAAACTCGCAATTGCGAGTTGCAATTCTGAGCAATAAAGTCAGAACTGCGAGATATAGACTCGCTATTCTGACTTTATATCTCGCAATTCTGACTTTATATCTCGCAATTCTGACTTTATATCTTGCAATTCTGACTTTATATCTCGCAATTCTGACTTTATAACTCGCAATTCTGACTTTATAACTCGCAATTCTGACTTTATATCTCGCAATTCTGACTTTATATCTTGCAATTCTGACTTTATATCTTGCAATTCTGACTTTATAACTCGCAATTCTGACTTTATATCTTGCAATTCTGACTTTATATCTCGCAATTCTGACTTTATATCTTGCAATTCTGATTTTATAACTCACAATTGCGAGTTTATATCTCACAATTCTGTGAAAAAAGTCAGAATTGTGAGATAAAAAGTCACAATAACCTTTTTTTATTTTTTTATTCAGTGGCGGAAACGGGCTTCCATAAACCAGAGACATGGACGAGTGTAAAATAAAAAATTTTAGACCTAATATGTGTTCATTCGATTGTTGTTTAGCACATGCCTGCTTGACTTGACACTCTCTCTCTGTCTCGTTCTGTGTTTCAGGATATACTGCAGGAACACCTTATAAAGTGCCCCCTACTCAGACCAATGGAGCCCCTCCGCCCTATTCCCCGTCTCCTAACCCCTACCAGACGGCCATGTACCCTATTAGAAGTGCCTATCCCCAGCAGAACCTCTATGCTCAGGTAAGTGACCCGGAACAAACTGGAATTACACCGCAGTCCATGATTAGCTTAATGTTTTGTTGTGTTTTGACTAGGAGAGAAATCAAAGTTGACTCTTCTAATCTTATCCTGCATTATTCATCAGGAAAAAGTGTTGTTTTGGCATGTTCTTTCAGAATCTATTAACTTGCTTAACCTGAAATGACGTATCGAGGTCAAACCATAGCTATGCAAGCATTGTAAAATCTTGCTAATTGTCAATGCATTTGTGCAATAAAGATGACAGCAGTAATATCAAACAATGATCCAAATAACACTGAAATCAATACCCAGTTAATAAAATAATCCACTTTTTCATTATAGAATATTGTTTTACCCAAATAATTCACATCAAAGAAGTAAAATGGACTGTTTGAGTATCAAAAAGTATCGTATTGTATCGTATTGATATTTTAAATACTTTTGAGTGAAATACATATGCTAGTCATTTAGTACAGTGTTATTTTACTATTATTCATAGTATGCATTTATATATTGAATTCGTTTTATTTTCGTATTTTCAAGTTTAATTTTTAATTTGTATTTTTTGTTTTAAATATGTATATTTATTTTTTATTTATTTTCGTTTTAGTGTTACAAGTCAAACAGTTAAGTTTATTTCAACTTCAGTTTATTTCTAATTTTCATTTAGTTGAGGTTTTTCATCTAATATTTATATTTTATTTCAGCCTTTTTTGATTTACCAAAAATGTTTTGTAATAGTTTGCTATGGCACTGCATCAACACTGATGCAGTAATCTGACTGTAGTAAATGCTAAAGTAATGTGGTTTAGGATCTAAAACCATCACTAGAGTCATTTTGCTTGCTTGATGTTTTGTAATCATCACCTTAGACCCTTTATTTGCCGCACAACCAGGACTATTGGGATTTGTTCCCATAACACCCAACATCACAAGACAGTGAATCATGCCTTACAGGTTTTGAACCTTCACCCTTTCAGCTCCCCGTCACCGGTCTTTTGTAATTTGAGTTGCTCTTGTTCTCAGGGTGCTTATTACACGCAGCCAGTGTACGCTGCCCAGCCTCATGTAATCCACCACACCACCGTGGTCCAGCCCAACAGCATCCCCTCCGCCATCTACCCCGCTCCTGTACCCGCGCCCCGCTCCAACAGCATGGCCATGGGCATGGTGGCCGGAACAACGATGGCCATGTCTGCCGGTGAGACGCTCAAAAATTTGAATATTGTTGAAGCTAAGAAATTATATATACTTCAATGTGTATTAAAAATGCAACTACAAATATATGCAGACTCTTCTACTTCAGCAATAGGTATATTAGGTATATATATATGTGTGTGTGTGTGTGTGTGTGTGTGTGGGTCAAAGACGTTAAGATAAATGTACATCAAAATAAATGTACAAAAGTGATTTTATGTCCATAGAAAGCACATTAAATGTAAGTAAAGTGTCTACTTTTAAGGTTTCAAATACGTTTTTGGAGAATAAAATGTTAAAATTTGGTTGAAATAATGTTACGTTGTCAGTCGGTGTAACACAATATTTATGTAAAAATTCAAACAACATGCTTATTCTGACTATTATTAAAATATATAAAAGAATAAGGGAACAATTTAAAATTTGTTTTAAATTAGTAAAAATTCTTACTGACAAATGGGCAAAACCTAGGATAGTGGCAAATTTTACAAATGTAAAATTAAACCTAATTAGTATTTGGGGTGAAAGTAATTAGTCTTTTAAT